TCCAGAGCCCAACCTATGAGCTGTGCAAACATCCTGGCCTCTCAGGAAGGTGAGAGGTCAGCTCTGGGAGGGACACAGAGAATGGGAAAGAGGACCATGAGCAAGAACAATGGGAGAGTGTCCCCCAGCCTGTGGGAGGCCCCGCAAAGATGACTCACTGCCGCCCCTGGCTCCTTCCAGTCGTCTTCCCTCTCCCCCACTGTCTTACCCTCCTTTACACACACACCCCTAACTGTTGGGAGAGGGGCTTCCCAGCAGAACCTTCGAATCCTGCCTGTCCTCTGAGATGCAGCTCAGCTGCACCAGCTCTTCGCCTTCCCCATCACCTCCAGTGGCCAAGGCCACGCCTCTGGCTGTGACTGGCGTGGCCTGGTATGATTTTCAGTGTCTTTCTGGTTCCCTCTGCACCTAAAATGTGATTTCCACAACCCCACCGGGTGGAGCACCTGCTACCTCACAGGGGTTCGATCTGCACTCACTGACTCCACAAGGAGAAATTATCGATGTTCTCACACTATTAAGAGAGGAGGAGGAGGAGAAGCAGAGACACCGGCCCTTCCCTAAAAACACAAAGTAGCAGGTCTGTGACTGGGTCATGGCTCAGGCCGCCCTACCCTGGCTCTAATCCACGGGAGGCACCAGGTCTCACGTGACAAGTCCTCAAGCCAGGTTTATGATTTGTGGCCACTGGCCAGGCACCCAGCTCCAGGCCTTCCTCGAGAAGCTGGAAAGAGGAGGCCCAAATCCCAACCACAAACCCCAAACTACAGGATGCCCATTTGGTTTGACCTCACATTCAGAACGGCCCTGCAAGGAAGGGCCCAGGGGTGAGGGCCTCTCCCAGCCCCGCCCCACTGAGCACAATCTTGGCAGCCCCGCTTAAGAAGTCAGACTTCAGGAAATGAGTTTCCTCCTTTTCCTTTCTAAAGGGCTGGAGCCTGCAGGCCTCTAACTTCTACAAGCCCATCTCCAGTGACCAGCAGCCCCTCAAGGTCTCATCATTCCTCAAAACTGGAAAGTCTGGTTCTCCCTGTGCTCCAGGCCCTCGCAGGGGCATCTGCCCAGGTGGCAGCCTGGTCTGGAGCCAGCTGGCCTCCACAGCCCTGACGCTCCAGGCCCTGTCCATCTCTCCTCCAGGCTCTGTCAATCACTTCCCAACCAGTGGGGCACCTGCACTCAGTGAACCCACGTGGGTCAGGTTTTAGACCCGAAGTGGCTGCAACAGGTGCTGGAGCAAAGCAGTGCTGGGGTAAGCTGCAGGGGGTGGGAGCAGGGCCCAAAGAATAGCCTCAGCTAATTATCAGAGGAGCCTGAAGACACTCCCAGTTGTCTCTTTTAGAGGAAATCCACACTCCGAAGTCACTTTACCTGTATTACAACAAGCTGACAAAGTTTTTAAGCACTTCGACATTCAGCTCTTCATCTTGGATGCCCAGGAAGTAGGGAAAGGGTAGGCAAGGGATTCTATACCATTCTATAGGTAAAGGGACTGAGAAATCAGAGAGTTTAGGTGACACTGAATGAGACCTAACTTCAGGGTCAAAGGTCAAGGACAATACAACTCCTAGGCAAGCTTGCTTCCTTCTGAGATGGATTTATATACTACATCTTACTGCAAAGCATCATGGGTAAAGGCCATAACAACTCCTCAAAATAGTTAATGTTTACGGAGTAATCACTATATGCTCGGTTCTATGCTAAATTCCCTACATACATTACTTTGTTTAAACCCCCACTCAGCTATTTCAGCATTTCATCCCTATCCCTCCTGGCCTGGAGTTGGGAGCCATGCACGCATGATGCCATTTATCCAGCTAATCAGCATCGTTCCTGGACCATGTACAACAGGCCTGACTCTGGGCTAGGCTCTAGGAATTCAGCAAAGAGGACAGGCTGGGTCTCTGCCCCCACGGACACCGGCACGGAGTGACGCAGGAAGGAGAGAAGAACAGTAGGGGTATGAGGATGGAGACCAGAGCCAGTTCTCTCCTCTCTCGGGCTCTATTTTCAGCAGGTATCACTCTAGCTTCTGGAGTCCTGACCTCCTGCCTTCAGGGCAGGCAGACATCCTGCTCCTCCCCATGTAAACCCACCTACAGCAGACCCTCCCCTCTTTGCAGTCCTCCACCGGGATCCCTGGCCTTGGTAGCTCCTACAACGATGGTCTTGCAATCCAGAAGCAAGCATAAACAAAGCGGCCTCTCTTCCTGCAACCTCCCTTGACAACGTGGCTTGACGTGGGTACAGAATCAGGATCTGGGCCAATTTACAACCACCTTCTTTCACCTGCCAGGGCTGCCTCTCCATCTGAACATCCATTAGCTCAACAAATAATAATTAAGGTCTTACATGTAAGAAAAATACCCCAAGACTGGCATCCGTGGGAATACACATTAAGCCAGAGCTTCCAGGATTTAAGAGGGAAGAGAGAGAATACAACTGAACAGCAGAAGCTGCCATTTTACATATCCTCTGCTGTCAACCCAGCAGGGCGGGTATTAGCTCCTTTTCATAAATAAGGAATTGGAGGTTGAGAGAGGTTAAGTAACTTGCCCACGGCCACAAGCCTAGAAGTGCAGAGCTGGGATGCTACTCAAAATCTATGCTGTCTCCAGCCTGCCTGACCCCGGCACAGGCGTGAGGACGTGGGCGAGATCCACGTGAGGGAATAAAGTGGGGACTACATTCATCCCCCAAAGGCGGACATTCAGACATGGGGCCCCTAAAAAAGATGGCTTTGGCGCTCAGCCTCTGAGATCAGGAAGATTGTGAAAGCCGGTAAACTCCCCAATCTACCACATTTTGTGTCTGGAGGCAGAGTCTGGCATGATGAACTCTGCACGGAAGCATTCTTTGAAGGGACAAGCTGTGGCCAACCCAAGGCAGGTTCTTGAGTCATGCCTGCTGCCTGCACAGACTTCTACCTGCATCTGCATCAAGCTTTACCGTTTGCCCAAGAATTACTTCCAACCTCGTCATTTAATCTGATGCCTGTAAGAGCCCCAGGGAGGTTGAGTAGGCCAGGCACATGGTCAGAACAGAAGCACCACAAGGACAGGGACCTCATCTGTCTAGTTCGGTGCTCTATTCTCAGGACCTGGAACCGGGCCTGGCACAGGGTAGGCATTCCAAGGCCATTTGTTGAAGGATCTAATAAAAGCCCAGAGAAGTGAAATGACTTGCCCGAGGTCTCACACATAGTCCTGGTTGTAGCAGGACTAAAAGGAGGGTCTTGTGCCTCCCATCCAGTGGCCTTTGTATCCTCCTCCCCTCCCCACCCCACACTCTCCTGCCTCCAACTGGAATGGTCAGCCTCTGTCCAGCTGTCAGCTCTGGTCCTACTCAACCCTCACCTCCCACGGTCAGCAGAGAGGGTGTAAAAGGCACCAAGTTACTTTTAAGTTGGATCTTCCACACGGAAGACCACTTTATATCCCCACCGCCGTGCTGAGAACTAGGTGAAATTCGCAGAACCTGAGAGAGAACAGAGAACTAATAGCAGGGGGAAAAAACCAAAAAACTGGTCCAGATGTTCCCAATCAGGCCCAGAGCTTGTGCCCTATACCCTTCTCCATCAACCCCACCAAAGCAGGTGTTGGCTCCCATTGCTCCAGCGATCTTTGCAGGCTCAGGATGCCAGGGCCAGCTTTCCAGCCTCCCTCTCCAACGAAGAACAAGTGAGGGGAAGCTGCCTGCCCCAAACATGGCTGCATCCCAGCCCCACCATGCACCAGTAGGGACTCTGGGCTGGTTACTTCCCCCTATGCCCCTCATTTCCTCATCCTCCTGTGTGACCGGCTCACAAAGCTGCCCAGAGTGACAACTGAAACAATATATGTGACGATATTAGAACAGTGCTCAGCACTCATCAGCAAATGCCAGCTCTTGGAACGGCTGAATTTTTACCAAGATAACCAAGTTTCCCAGATGACTCTGTTCCCACCTGGCTGCCCAGAGGCCTAGTGCACAGCCACCACCACCCAGGTCAGAGTTTTATGAGTGTGAGTGAGTGTGAGTGTGTGTGTGTGTGTAGAGAGAGACTATATAATTTTTCTCCCCACTGCTTTTAACATATTCATTTATTCATTTGAAAATACTGAATACTGTGTGCAGGTCCAGTGCCCAGTGCTTAGTCCCACAGTCCTTAAAAGGACCTAATTCCTAATTCTAAGGTAGTCCTGTCACCACTGCCCCAACAGGCACACAGTAAGTGCGAGGCAAACAGGAATTTCTCCTCTTCTACTCCACACAGATCCTAGATATTCACTCATTCTAATCCCACCCCTCCAGTTCCATTTAAAATCTATTCTCAAGGCTGTATACTTAAAGAAATAAAAAAAAAAGACACCCCATCCCAGCCCCCATGGGAATCGCCAAATGACTCACTTCATTCTCAGCTCCACCAACAGCCCAAATAACCCAGGAGATAATCTGGGTGAGAGAGGGACTCACCTCTCCCCGAGCTCTCCCTGAGGGGCCAACAGGAAGAGGGGGAGGGGTGTTTAAGCGACTGCCACATTGCAAAGAAGTCAGCTCAAAGCCCGGGGAACCTTCAGAACCGGCGGCACAGGGCTGGGCCCAGCAGAAGCCAAGACCCTGGGGCTTTGGGAAGCCCTTGGTGCGTGTGTTTTAAATTACCTCTGCTTGTCTGACGAAGTGAGTAAAAGGGCGCCGTTTCAGGGCTTAGGATTCCTGAGTGAGCTAATACAGGATGCCTTTGGCTGAAAAAAAAAAAAACTTCAGTCGGCTCCCTAAACTCCCCCCCCTTTTAAGTTTAAAAAAGGGAATGAATGTTACCATTTTTGGACATGAGCGTTCTCCCTCAAGCCCAGCCCTAACCGCACTATCCAGAGGGACGCGCCATCCTGTCCCCCCATTCCCAGATCAGCATGGGGGTGGGGGTGGAGGGGTGGTAAGGAGGGACCGGATGGGAGCGGGCAGCGGGGAGGGCGGGAGAAGGGGGTGTTCAGGGTACGTGGCCGCCTGGGGCAAGAGCTCACCGCGCAGGCAGGAAGCAGAGGCAGGGATGGGGCGCCCTCCCCCACCACCCCCGACAAGAGTGGTTTCTGACCTCTTCCTGCCACCGGCCACTGTGCCTGGGTCCTGTCGCCAGCTCCGAGCCCAGCGCTCGTGGCGGAGCGTGCACCCGGCACACAGCGACTGGGACGCGCGCCTCGGTGGCTAAGCATGGAGCCCCAGTGATTGACCCTAAGTATCTCCAGAGACAATGCCCTGCCCTGGGGCCGCTCAACTCAGATCAAGTTGCCCCAGTTCACCTTCTCTCAGGAACGAGCTGGGGTCGGAGCGGCAGGACGCAGACGCTAGCCCATCTCGGCTCGCAGCTACCAACCACTGAGTTAGGCAATAAACGGTTTGCCGTCCTGACCCCGCCCCCACACGGCCCTCTGGGGAGCTAGCGTTTGCTCCCTGGTTCTCTCGGCCCCAACCTGACTCCAGCAAGTCCACCTCCAGGCAGACCGGGAGGCGGCTGCCAAACGTGCCGGCCTCCGCTTTCCCCTAGGCCTGTGGGTTGGGGCTGGGAGGACCCCTGCAGCTTGTCCTCTCCAG